AGAAATATTTAATTTTATCAAAATGAGAATTGTTCCTTTAAAAAAAAATGAACAAAATGGTGTCTGGTGAACATTGATCTGATTGTTAGAACCGGAGTTATAACAATCGCGATAAACAATTGCAAAATAAGTATTGGATGGGTTTTTCCAAGTATATCTCAGCTTTCATACGTGCAATTAACTTTCAAAACCCCCTCACTTTAAAAGGAATTGTTTCAGCTTTTAAAAAACTTTACAAAATTACTTTATCTTTACTAATAAAAAAGTTGTAACAATTATATATTAAAAATTTCACTAAAAAGGCGCAAATTAAAGTGTTTAAAAGAGATTTAAACAAAACAAAGCTAAAAACTATAAACGAAAATCTCGCTAATGGAAGATATAGAGCAACTCAAAATGAACATTTTAAATTTTTCCATGTAGATTCAGACATTACTTCATTATTATAAATAAAAAAAGTTATAGCAGTATTTTCGTTAAAAAGTGGAGAAATAATATGTTCATAAGAGTTTTAAACAAAATTGAGCTATAAAGGTTGACAGTTTGGTTAATAGAAGTTATACAAAAATTCCAAACGAACATTTAAGGTAAATGTTTGCCTTGTTAATTGTTTGCTGAAATATTGAAAATTGATTTAGGCGCGCGTTTAACGCGCTCCCGCATTCGAGCGCCTTTTTAAATGCTGCATAACTTGGACAAGAATTAATATAGAAACATTGACCATGGCTTAAAATATTAGTTCTGAGTTGTTCTATAACCTCGATTAGCCAGATTTATTATCAAAGCTTATAGCTCAATTTTGTTTAAACATCTTTTAAACTAATTCAACTTTTTAGTGAACAATTTAATATTTAATTGTTATAACTTTTTTATTAACAAAGATAAAGAAATTTAGCAAAGTTTTATTTAAAGTTGCAACAATTCTTCTTCAAGTGCCATCTCCGCGGTGGAGGTCGGCAATCATCATAGCTATTCGGACTTTTGGGACGGCTGTTCTGAAAAGTTCATTTCATGTACATCCGTACCACTCTAAAGTTGCGCAGCCATGACATTCTTACCCCTCCCTATGCTTCTCTTTCCTTGGATCTTTCCCTGCATAATCAGTTGGAGCAAGGTGTATGTCTCTTCACGTGTAATATGTCCGAGATATTCTAATGTTCTTGTTTTAATTGTATTTAAAATTTTCATTTCTTTATTCATCGTTCTCATAACCTCTTTGTTTGTGACGTGTTCTGTCCACAATAGTTTCAGAATTCTTCTATACATCCACAGCTCGAATGATTCCAGTTTTTTTCATTGATGTTGCATTCAAGGTCCAAGATTCCATTCCATAAAATAGAGTCAAAAAAACATAGCACCTCGCCAACCTAACTCTTAGTTCCAGTTTTAAATCCCTGATTTCCCTGATTTCCTGAATGTAATCATTTGTGGAGTTAATCATTGTTCCCAGATATGCATATTTGTCCACTTGTTTCTCGCTATTTCTTTAAGTTTTCGATATTCTCATTAATTTCGTCTTCTTGACATTCATTGTTAGACCATACTCTTTTCCATACTCTGCTTTTCTGGATTCTGGTCACCAGTCTCTGAAGATCTTCAATGTTTTCGGCTAAGATCATAGTGTCGTCCGCATATCTAATGTTGTTAATGGGATTTACCTCTCCATTTACCTTTATTCCAGCTGTTTCACCCTCAAGAGCGTTTTTTAGGATCTCTTCAGAGTAGGCAATCTTCTTTGATTTCAGGACATTCATTAATGGTCTATGTCATACTTTATGCAACATTTAGGTACAATTAAAATAGGGTACTTTGAAAGATAATCGCGTATGAAAGCTGAGTTGCACCTGAAAAAGCCCCATCGAATGCCTATTTTGCAATTCTTGTTCACAAAATTTGTTATAACTCCTGTTCTAACAATCGAATCAAAGTTTACCAGATGCTATTTTGTTAATGTATGTTTGTAAAAAAAAAAAATCTAATATACGCACCAAAAAATATACAAAAAAAAGTGTCAAGGTACCAAATTTATACTCAACCCCAGCCCCCCACTACTGGACTTCTAATTGATGGTTCTAATTGATGATTCTAATTGATGGTTCAAGCTGAAATTTTGAGTACTTGTTCAGCACTATAAGATCTCTCTTAAAGAAATTACAAAAGTGATTTTATTAACGGAAAAACTTATTAAACACCTGGCGATTGCCCTGAGAAATCCTTATTTTCTTAGACCACATAGTTAATTTACTATAGACTCTATAATTCCTTGTAAATTTTGACATTTACTAGTGAATTTGTAATTATATACGCATATTTGTATTAGAGCAACTATTTGTAAAATAAACTTTCACAAATAACTCAATACTCTCAAATATTATTATAATTACATATTATAATAATAACCAATATATACTAAGAAATGAAGATGTGTTTATCTTTCTTTGGGGCACAGAGAAATAAAAATATAAAATTTAATAAACAATTCGGCGGCTTCATTTCAAAATATAAAAACGGAGTAACTTTTTATCTAAGTTTTTATTTATTAGTTATTTTGTAATACTCTATTCACAAGAAATTATTCAGAGTACTATATCGCACACAACAAAAGAACACATAGAGAAAGCACTTCCTTATAATGTTCTAACCTTCAAATATTTCGCTCAAAAGAGGTCCATTAAATTACAAATGTAAGTTAAGGGTCCTTAATTTTGAGATGAATACGACGAATAAGAGTTATAGTGAATAGTATTGGAAGCATAATCACCTGGAAATTCCTCAAAGATTAAAGTGGGATAATTGGAGTTGGCTGTATACCATATAAGTTAAAAAACTCGAAACGGTTCAGAACGTTTTCGGACTAATCTGTCAATCTTCAGCGAACTTTTTGGAGTACTTGTGTAACTAATCACAAAATCAAACAGTGTAGAAATTATTACTTCAAGTAGGGACTTATGGTGCACGGTTAGTGATCCAATTACATTGGCATATTGTCGTATAATTCAATACTTTGGTATTGAATTATACCAAACCACAAAACCGCAAAACCAAACCACTGTTTGGTTTTGCGGTTAGTTACTACAAGGATTTTTTAATTTAAATTTTTAATCAAACATATAATTTACAACAGAAGTTTTTTACTTCGATGTTCGAGTTTTTTCCTTAAAGATCTTCAAGAAATAGCCTTCGTTGGATGTACTTTATCCCAACTATTTTTCGAATATCATTAACCCATCTTAGCCGTGTTCTTTTTGCATTTTTCTTTGTTATATGCAATCTCCATTTCACCACCTTGTAATGTCTGAACTTCTTATTCTGTCTGTTAAGTATATTTTTAACATTGATCTTTCCATTGGTCCCTCAGTTACTATTAGATTCTTTGATGACTTTTTTGTCAGAGACTTGGTTTCTAGTCATATTTGATTATGGGAGTAAATATTTGGGAGTAATAGTGAATGGCCAAAACAAGAGAAGGGAAGAAGTAACGGAACGAATACCAGCAGGCAACAAAACATACTGGAGATATCATAGACTTATAAACGACAAGAACTTGTCCAGAAATACAAAACTGAAAATATACAGAGTTGCAATCAGACCAGTAGTTACGTACGCAGCTGAGACAATGTACCTCACGGAAAAAGATGAAGAAAAATTGAGAATTTTCGAAAGGAAAACCCTCAGACGGATTATGGGTCCGATAAGAATGGACAACGGAGAAATGAAAAGAAGAATGAACCATGAACTAAGAGACATAATGAAGGGAGAAGATATAGTTAGATTTATTAAAGCACAGAGGCAGAGATGGCTGGTACACATAGAAAGAAGCAAAAACGACCTACTGATTAAGAAGATCACCAGATGGAAACCAGCAACTGAAAGACCAAGGGGAAGACCCAGAGAGAGATGGGAGGACCAGGTTATGAGAGATATCCAAATTCTGGAAGTGAGAAACTGGAGGGAACTATGCAGATATCGAAATGAGTGGAAGAAAATTGTAACGAAAGCCAAGTCATCCTACTAACTTTGACAACATACAAGTGGAATGCGGTGTGATTCACCGCAATAAGCGAATCAGAGAGCTCTAAGTAAGAACGGCAAACATTCCACCCGGAATGAAAAGCCCTGATGATGATGACTTGTTATATTTTATCGTGAACATTACTATGTATTTATTTTTGAATGTGTTTTATTGTATTTCATCTTGCATATGCAAGGATGGAACCTGTTCATTAGCAAAACACAAGAAAAAAATCTCTTGTTTGTCGAGTTCTTTATTTAAACTTCCATATACGCCCTGATTTATTTCTAGTGAGAAATAAATCTTGAAACCTGTTACAAAATCTCAAATAAATTTTTTTTATTATTTACTTAATTTATAAATGTTTTAAAAATATCTGATACGAAATATTTCCGGAAAAAACTTCTCTAATTCATTTTATATAGGCTACCCTATCCTTTCTGTATAAAAGTTTGTGCTCTGTACAGAATATGACATTTTTGGCCCTATAAAACCCATAGATAGTTAGTTGTAAGTCAAAGACTAGTTTGACCACTAACTAACTGATGAACCAATAAGCTGAAATATATTACTTTATTATACAAATGATAGATATATTATGTCATTTAAAAACTTATCGTTAAGTGCTTAACTCAAAATTTGAATAGTTTGATTAAATATGACTTTTAATATTGACAAACACTTTTTTGCTGATAGGTTCCTACACTATATTTAAAACGAAATCATGTATAAAGTCTTCACTACTTTCTACGTTCTATTAGGTTAGCTAAAAGAAGACAGTAAAAGAAAGTAGAGACAGTTAACACAGCAAAAACATTTACGTTTGTTGTTGGTAAGTTATTGTTATTATTATTATTTGAAATGGAAAATAATAACAGAAAAACAAAACATACCATGCAGGGTAAGATGCTGTATTTATAAGATTGTTAGAAAACCAACCTCACATCTCTCAGAAAAAGAAAAAAAAAACAACTTTGTATTCACTTACAAAAAAATGAAAGGCTGATCGCGATTATTAGTCCTAGTTTGATTCTCAATCTGTATATCGGCCGTAGAATTCGAGTTTGTGAAATGATGTTCCTGATAATCCTATCGAAATAACATATTAGTGAAGCCATATATCACAAGCTCTTGAAACGTACACTTTAAAATCATATACACTCACCGACAAAACCTCATTTTAATTCGTATTGTATTGGCCAGTACTTATAATTTCTCGTGGTAAAAATCTTACAATGAATTGTTTTTTAACTACTTCCTATAACCAGAGTGGTAGATGGAATGTGCATTAAACAAAAGAAGAGTACCTGGAAATATTATATAGTGCGCAATAAAGTCTCCCCTTCCTTAAGGTATTTTCTGAACTATACAACTTTAAAATTGAGCTGTAGTAATAAATTACAGACTTGCTCACAATCTATTTATTTAGCTAGCGCCGAGCGGTTTCGACCACTACAGTTTTCTGGTCATCATCAGGTTACCGGTAAAGTACAAATCTTTAAAATGATTCCGGTACAATGTTTGTTCTTAAGATGGCGCGTATCGAACGCTCATTCATGCTAAAGTTTTGGGCACCATTTTGTAAAATTATTTTAAATGGCCTATACGAGCAAAACGTCGCTGACGATATAGTTATAGTGGGCAGAATGAGAATGAATAGTATGAGAGACATGGTGCGGTGTTTTAAAAGGCATGCGAACCTGGCAAGTGAATCAGGACTTGTGGTAAACGAGGAAAAAACCAAATATATGTTGGTTTCTAAAAACCCGCGAAATATCCAACTGAGAATTCAAATTAACAACCATACCTTTGAGCAAGTCAAAGAATTCATATAGCTTGGATTGCTAGTAAACGCAACAAACACGACAAACGACGATATAAAAAGACGCATACCAATAGCAAATAGAACTCTAGAAACAAACTCAAAACACGGTCTCTAGAAACATTTAAAAAATAAGAATATAAAACATGCTGTAAAGCTCAATATATACAAGAATTAATAAAGCCGGTTTTGATATATGGGACTGAAACGTAACATAATGAAAGACTTCTTGGTATTTTTGTAGGAAAAGAACCTTGGAAAAATTTTTGTGGCGTAAATGAAAATGGACTATGGCGTCGAAGATACAACTTTGAACTATATCAGTTATACACTAAAATTAAATTCGGACTTAGATGGGCTGGACACATTGCTAGTATGTCAGATCACGAATACACGAAAAGATTAACATTTTCAGAACCAGAGGGCACAAGAAGTAGAGGACGACCACATATCTATGGTTTATAGACCTGACAAAGGCTTTCGATTGCATCCAATTTGAAGATATCTTACAGCTACTGTATAAAAGAAATATACCAATCAATATTATACAAACCATCGAAAACATCTACTTCCATAATCGAATACAGGTAAAGATAAATGAATCACTAACACAGTGTATACCAGTACAAAGCGGAGTCAGACAGGGTGATTCGTTAAGTCCACTTCTCTTTAATATAATAATGGACGAAATAATACAAGAAGTACGTAAAAGCCATCGTTACAGAATGGGGAACAAAGAAATCCAAATATTATGTTATGCATAGTTATTATATATTATATATTGTTAGTTATGCAAAGTAAAGCGGCGGGATCTCTTAATAACACAATCTGTAGGAACAAACGCCAAAGACAAGACACAAAAACAAGAACCTATAAAGCAGCAATTAGACCTATATTAACATACACGCGGAGACAAGACCGGACACATCTAAAACAAGACGACTACTAGAAACAATAGAGATTAAAACACTTCGACAAATATCAGGGAAAAATCTGTTGGCTAGGGAGAGAAGCGAAATCATAAGACGAACATGCAATATAGAAGACATAAATGGATGGGTGATAAAACGGAAACAGGAGTGGAACGAACACATTAGTAGAATGGCAGAGGATAGGATAATACGAATAGCACGAGATAATTCATCAAATGGATGAAGATGTATTGGCTGACCAAGAAAAAGATGGTGCGATATTTTAAACAATTTAGGAGGCTAATATTGAAGAAGAAACAGGTTTTAAAACCTACATACAAGAAGGAAGAAGAAGTAAGAAGGAGGAAGAAGAACAAGAAGAAGACCTACAGATTCTAAGGCTCAGAAGATGGAGGGAAGTTGCTAGGATCGACAAGAGCGGCGACATCTTTGTGAGAAGGCCAAAATCCACAACGGATTGTCGAGCCACTTATGAAGATGATGATACGAGCAAAACTGTGAGATACCATTTGATTTCTAAGATTGATAATACAGAGAAAGATAAGAGGAGAAAGAAATATAGGAAAAAGGAGAGCGCCATAGTTTAAAAATTTAAGGGACTGCTTTTGATGAAGTTCAATAGAACTCTTCAGAGCAGCGGTAGATAGATTAAAGGTAGTGATGATAAATATCGAATTAAAAGCACTCTACAACGACGCCCATACTGTCCAAGAAATTAAATCAGAGCGACTAAGATGGGCAGGCCACGTGCACAGACTGCATAACGAAAGACTTGTAAAACTGGTATGGGAGGAGATTCTCTCAGGCAAAAGACCACTCGGACGTCCCAAAATGCGATGGAGAGATAACATCCAAGCAGATCTTCGGAAAATGAACATTTCATTTGACCCTAGATTGATGGAAGACCGAACAAATTGGAAAAAAGTTGTACAGTCAGCCAAGACCCACCCAGGGTTGAAGCGCTACGTGCTGATGATGATGATGATGATAAATATCCAACCTCCGATTAGGAGATAGCTCTTAAAGAAGATATAGATGTGCAGAGTTCGACGACCAGCATGTCGGTCCATCTCAACATGTCCCTACACTTGTTGCTTTTTCAGGAACAGGGTTTGCCTGTGGGTCACGGTAACTGAAGTATTTAATCTATACAGGGACAAAAAAATCATCACCATCAGTTGTCGCTACAGCCCTTCGTGAGCCTTGGCCTGCTTCCATCCTTCCCTATCGAGTGTCTGTCTTCTCCAGCCCCTGACTCCAATCTCCCTCAGATCTTCCTGTACATCGTCCAGATATCTGAGTTTAGGTCGCCCCCTTCTTCTTCTTCCGACCGGCCTATTTAGCATAGTTATTTTAGTGGGATCACTCTCATCCATCCGCATAACGTGGCCCACCCACCTTAGGCGGTTTATCTTGATGGTCTTCACAATATCTGCATCACCAAAAAGTCTATAGAGTTCAAAGTTATATCGCCTTCTCCACAGACCCTGTTCGTTTACTGTGCAGAGTTCGACGACCAGCATGTCGGTCCATCTCAACGTATCCCTACACTTGTAGCTTCTTCAGGAACCAGTTTTGGCTGTGGGTCACGGTAACTCAAGTATTCAATCTATACATGGACAAAAAAATAGCTGGGGAATAAATCAAATGTTTCACATAATTCACACTTAACTTTATGTATCTTGTCCCCAGCTGATGATTTTCGCTTGTGCCCTTTGACTACTTAAGTTATCGTGTCCAACATTCAACAGTGCTCCTGAAGAATCTACCTAGTATAGCGAAATGTTGAGATGTTAAATTGTTAAATTCTTTTTTCATCGATCATCGATTTCATCGATGTGGGTGAAAACGTCATATATCCATTTTGATATAGAAAAATATGAAATATATAATATAAAGCTCAATTTGATTTGTAGCAACTACTGATTTACGTCATATTCATGGAGTTTTGGACAATTTTCGGCAATTACTAGGATGCTATAATATGTATACTATAATATAAAATCGATGTTACTCAAACTGTTTGCATTGCGATTATAGGAAGTTACGTAAAACACTTCATTGCAAGGTACTTAGCCAGAGATAATCACAAAAATTCTAACCAAAATACCTAGTCTAAACCAAATTCCATTATAGTTTGTTAGTGAATCATTAGAACTAATAAAAATGCGATAGTTGTTATGTAAACAGAATTAAAATGTAATCAATAAAAAATTTTCTCCTAAAATGATAACATATATGATAATTTATAAGTATATTGTATAAGGTTTACTGACGTACTTTAAATTAAAATATTTCTATAGACAAATATACAGTGATTTAAGCTACACGTATATCAAGAACAATATATCGTCATATTATTTAATTCGAAATTATCAAAGTAAATAAATGTAGTTAAGGAGTACCAGGTAACAATATTCTACTTTAAGAACAATTTTACAAAAATGTAACAGTCGGGTTATACGAAAAAAAGGGCTTACTCTTGCATGGTAAACTACCCCAAATTTTACTATTTTAACCTTTAGGGGAGTCAATAATAGTGTAAGTTTAAGAATTTAAGATCGCGACTATTCCGCTGTCGCGTTAACCGCCATCTTGAAAGCAGAACCGTTTTTGCTCGATATCTCTGCCATTTTCAACTTTTCGACAAAAATGGTACGGACTGAAAATGCTGTAAATGCCATTTCCTACAATTTCTTCTTTGCAATTTTTCGTGCTGTGGATATTTTCCGAGTTAAGGGGAAAATAGTGACAAAACATACTTAATTATTGAATTATCTCGTTTATTATTACCTTCACGACATAAATGTACACAAACAAAAATGAAGATTATATTTTATAGAATTTTGATTTCTTTGAGCCTTTGTGTCATAATCAACATTTAAGGTCCTACGCCTATGACAAGCCTAACGAGACACAAAAATGATTAACGAACCCTAGGCGCTGACGTCATCTTCAACAGACCATAAGAAGGAACAAACCTGTCTTATGAACAAAGGCTTAATTTGTAGATCTACGCTCTTCGGAGTACACATACTCCGATCAAATTGGAGCAGTGGAGAAGCTATAACCGAAAATAATGTTACAGTGAGAAAACGTGGTGTTCAAACTGTTTTACATTTATCATCAAGGATTATTCGTGATGATGAAACACACAGGCGTATGCTGGAAATTGTTGACAGCGTGGTCATGTATCAAACGTGCCAAAGTTATGCATACAAGAGGCTAGGGGAATTTTCGCGTAAAAAAGCACCGACGAATCTCGATTGTCATCATTACCAACATCAACGTCATCGCCAGTTGAATTGTAGGCACCACCAACATTGGATTTTAAA